TTCTCCTGTGTTTTCCAAGGGTGAGGTCGTTGGCTGAATTGTATCAAAGCAGGTGCTTGCAAGGCAGCTCCAGGAAAGTAGCTCCCAATGGCCCAAAGAAAGTCCTAAAGGGTCAAGGAAAGGGAAATGAAAAAAGCATGCTGTAGCAGATTTGATTACCTCTAAGATTAAATTTCAAACAAAAATATAAGAGATCTTTGCAATATCTAAATATAATGACTGTCTATTTTAAAGAATGCTCAGTAATTTCCCCCCCTATTTTTCTCCTTACTTCTGACTTCTGTCCTTGGCATTGTAGTCTGTGCTGAATTGCACTCTGGAACTGGCTCAGGAGGTCAGACTACAGGAGGTTCAAAAAGTGTGGACACTTTTGCAGAAACAGGCAAAATGTGCACCTTCTGATGCAATCAGTGGAAAATCCATGCTCTTCCATTGGGCAGTGATGTGGTCTGCTGGGTTCAGCAGGGCTTTTTGCTCTAAATCTGTGCAGAATTTGACTTAATAGAACATGCATTCTTTTTCTGCCCCCAGCAGCTATGGTGTAGCCCAGGGTATTCTTCTGAACACATTTCTGGTACTGTCGCAGCCAAGGAAGGAAAAGCACACTTATCTTGTCTTCTCACACAGGTCATCTTCTAACACAGGTTAGCTGGTGATAGTCACCATAAATCAGAATTATGGCCCTCTGCTTCCAATGTCTGTATGATGTGCTTCTCCCAGTTTCTGATTTCCTTGAACCAAGAGCACTGTCGACTGTGATAGTTCTGCAGCGTCTAGCATGACATAGGCATTATAGAATAAGTGTGTCTAATGTCAGTGGTACATTGAAGAAATATCTGTTCTCTGATTGTTGGACAACAAACCCAAGTGGCAAGGTAGAGTTTGTTTAGTCACTGCCAATTTCCCTCCCCTGGGAGTTCCATATTTTACACATATTTTAGCCCCTTGTGCAAAATGTGATGATGGCAAACGGTAGCCTCCCAAGCCTGTTGCCAGCTCATCAAGTCCTGGAATAAAAGAATGGCAAGCTACTTTTACTGCACTGCTTGCATTGCTTTTTAATCCTACGTAGCCAAATATGTGGACAGAAAGTACAATTAGGAGGAAGAGATGTCAGACTTGGACTCCCTTGAAGCTCTTTGGGCTTCCTAAATCCCTGGTGTGGCCAGGGCCAGCTGGAACAAGTGTCAGATGGGGGAGGGGAGTATCCCTGTGCTGGGCACTGGAGCAGCCTGGCAGGTGGTGGGCTGCAGCCTTTTATGTTCTGCCAGGTTTGGGAATGGCCTTTGTTGCTGCTGCAGTGATTCAGCACTTTGCACTGGAACCCCCTTTCACTGGAGGTTGCAGATTGATTCTAGCAACAAGTGTCGGTAAAGGTCTAGAGAATAATTCTCCTGGGAATTTTGAGCACAAAGCCTTTTTTTTTGTTTGTTTCCCAAGTCTTTAATGAGCTTTAATATAATTAATAGATTTGTAGTGAAAAAACTTGTTGCCTTTGATTCTGGAGATGAAAGTCCAGATATTTCTGAAACATTTAATTATATAACAGATGCTTGAATCTTGTATTAAGATTCAAGAATGTGGCTTTGATTAAAAAAAAAAAAGGCAATTTCAGGACACATTTTCTGAATGACCTCCTATGTTTTCTATCCTCCCCTCCACTCCTCACAAAACATACTGATTTTATACCTACCCATGTTTAACCGTGATCACTCTTACAAACAGTCTCTAGAGCTCATAGCCTCTTCTAGAGGCCGAGTACTCCCTGGAAACAATCAATCAATCAAAGACCAAACTGAGGTTCCTACCCTTCTCTAATGATACAGGTTGCAGCCACTGTGAGGATGTCTGTTCCATTTCTATTTTTATTGAAATCACATCGTAAGGACGGGTTTTAAAAATTTTATTTCAAGAAAAAAATGCTGTAAGATCAAGGCTTTTTATTTATCTGAACTGCTGCAGAGCAATATATGATTATATGCCAATAGCCATAATGAAATAATTCTAATAATTTGAAAGACATTTCCTGAACTTGTTGAATTCTTATATGTATTTTGCCCTTACCAGTCCCTTACATGTTTTGTCATATTTTTTAGTTACATGATGGGAATTAAAATTAAAAATTAAATTTGAATTAAATTTGGAAAACATTGGCATTTTGGAATTTGTCATGTTATGTAAAAGCAATATTTCAGAAATTTCCTGTGGAGTTGGAAATCTATTTATGTTTTTGGAAAGTTTTTTTTTATATTCTATGAGTGTACTGGCAATTATTCATGTCGTTTCAGTTTTATAGTTTACATAATCCATTTGGAGAAAACATCTGCTTTCTTCATTTCAGCCACCAGGAGACACTTGCTGTACAGAAGCGATAAGGTATTTTAGTTAATATAAAGGAAAAGCTGGCCAGCATCATTTGAGGAATAAAGTACAGCTGACAGCATTGAAAATGTTATAATGGGCTGTATTTTAGCCACCAAGTAAGCTGGAGGGAACCTGCAGAAGTCGTTTAAGTCTGACACACTGCTCAAAGCAGGGCTGACATGATGAGTAGCTCCAGTGGCTCAGCCTGCACTGATCAAGCCTGAACATCTATGCAGAGGGAGATCCCACAGCCTCTCCAGGCAGCCTTTTCCAATCTGTTACTACTTCTATTGATGTTCTTTCCACCCTTATACCCCACTGGTATTTCTCTTGTTGCAGCTGGTGACCTTTGCCTCAAGTCTGTTGCTGGGCAGCTCTGAGGAGCAATTGACTGTGTCTTCTTGAGCTGCTGTAGGTAATGGAAGCAGCTAGAGTGCTGCTTTAGCATGCCAGGAAGAAATGTCAGATGGTAGTCCTTGAGTGCAACCAACAGGAGGGCTTCCCTAGGGTAACGTTTTGAATGAAAATTTCCATTTCCAAAACAATTTTTACTTTTAATTTCTATTTTAAAAAAATTATGAGATGGAGTTTCAGCATTTCTGAATTTCCCCCTGAATTAAAAATAAAAACTTGTAACATTTTTGAAAGCTACTAATTCCCATGTCTGAAAATCCCCAGTATTTTTCAGGTTAGGTACAAACCCTTTTCTGCTAAGGGTGGTAAGTGAGTGTGGCGCAGCTCTTTTAGTTCTTCTTCATTGTCCTACCAAGGGTCTGCAGCTACAGTACAGAGCCAGACCAGCCCTGCTGGGACCAGAGCAGGATGGCTGTGCCCTGACACACAGCTCCTCTTGTGAGGCCAGGCTGATGGCTCCAGCTGTCAGCCAGGGCTAAGGAGCTGGATCCAGCCCCAGTAAACTCAGTTGGAATGTTTCTGGCAACTGGGCCAGTATCTGTGTGTGGCAGTGTGCTTGAGCCTGCACATGTCTCCCTTTCACAGGGGGCAGAGCTGTTTGTGAAATGGGGACCCCTGAAACTCTGTCAGAAGCTCTGTGTTCTGAACTAGGGATTCGGCTTTCGGGGGGAAGATCCTGTGACTTCAGGAGAGCACAGCAGGGCTGAAGCCAGCTGGCAATGCTGTAGGATGGTGATTTCCATCCCAGATTCCGTCCCAGAGGCAGGAATTGCTTTTTCCTGCCCAGTTGGTGGCTGGGCTTTATTCCTTTACTAATTTCTCTACCAGCAATGGTCATGCTGCTCCTCTGCTCATGCTAGGGACACGTGTGAGGAAACACACCCAGGTGACAGTGTTGGGCTGCTCTCTTCAGGGCATGGGGGCTGACTGTGAGGGGCTGGCATTGAGGTGGGGTTGGGAGCTCCCAGCCTGGACCAGAAGCTGCAGGGGACAGTTAGAGAGGGGAAAAACATAAAATTGTTACCCAAGAGATGACTTTTTCTCAAACTGACTTAGAAGCAAGTTTTGCTGGTGTTTTCTTCAGCTGGTCTTTGCTGGTTTTTCTTTGGCTCTTCTGGTGAATTTTCAAAAGGCCTTTTGCCTTCTGAATGACAGCCAGATGTTCATTGTAAGCTACGTATTTAAAAAGTAATATTGAGAGATGTTCCCTGTGTGGCACAGAAAAGTGCAAATAATTCCACTTACAGCAATAACACTTCGACAGTGAATGCTTCGCTTTGACTGGGGGAGAATCTTCAAAGCATGTTTATATTTGTGTTTCTGTCTAAGCATTGTGGTTTTGCTTGCAAAGAGATTTTGTTCTCTTTTTGGCACGAATGCACCAGTTTATTCAGCTTCAAGCAATTTTGCTGAGCTGCAGCACAGGTTTGACTGACTCTGTCCTCCTACAGCACAGCTGTAAATCACTGTGAGATGCTACTGAAGGCACGTCAGCCATGCAGAGGGCAAGTTCTGCATGGAGAGGGGGGAGAGGAGTTCTCTTTGATCAGTCTGGCTCCAAAACCTGAACATGGCTTCAGCTGGGAGGCCACAGCCATGTGAAGGTGGAAGTTCAAATTCCTCCTTCCAGAGTCTTGCTCTTGTAGCTGCTTTGTGAATGTTCAGTGTTCAGTTGTTAAAAATTTTACCTGCTGCAGCACTGCATAATCTGGGATTTCACTGGAGATCCTAAATGTCCTGTTAATTTATGTACCAGCAAGCACAGTGCTGTTATGTTAAATTCAGAATGAAAACATGAATGGAAACATGAACCCCTGAGATCAGCATGAATCAGATGGGCAATAAAAAGAGGATTTGATTTGTTCCAAGAGATTTTGTGAATTGGACTACATCTGGCAATGATGATATAATTCAATACCTTATTAGTTTTTTCAGTGAATTAAATAGCCAGTTTTAAAGAAATGAATGTCTAAAGAGGAAATATTGTTCTTAACAGATACCTAAGTGAACTAATTAGTAACTTGGTAAAGATTTGACATGATATCTTTTTGTATTTAGGGGAGAGAAGTAAGGCCAAATTCTCATATGATCATCATCTTGTAAACAACACTTTGTCCCCTAAGATTGCAGGCAGTTCTTGCTTGGGCTGGTTGTTTACTGTTTGCTGTCAGCCAGTCAAAATGCAGGTGTATTTATTTATTTATTTATTTATCATCTTTTAGCAGGAAAGAAACATCACAGGGAGGAGACAGAACTTTTCACAAATACTTGAACCCAAGGCCTCCTAAGTTTCACCAAACACATTGAAAAACCTGGTTTTCCTTTTCTCTCCTACAATTCAATGACCAGCAGAGGTGCAGGAACATCCATCAGGAGGTTTGTAGCTCCTGTCATATCCCACTGTTATTCTCCCTGTTGTCTTTCAAACAATTGGCGTTGGCAATGGACCAGGAAAAATGGTAAAGACTGAGGATGTGAAAGTGCAATTTTTTACTAGTGTGAAGAAATTAGAAAATGTCAAATAAAGCTGACATTCAAATATAGTTGTCTGTCCAACAAGTCAGACTTGTTTGTGTTTAGAGGCAGATCCCTTCCCCTCTGTTGCAGCCCCACCTTCATGCTGTGATATGCAGGTCAGGTCTCCAAATCTTCAACACTGCCATGTTCTTATACAGGCACTTTCTAAACCTTAGCACTTAATACCTTAAAATGATCAACCTCTGCACATTCTGTTCCCAGTTTCCACAAGATGTGCATTCCTTAGTGATGTGTTTGTTTTTTTTCCTTGGTGTAAAACCTATTGACTTTTTTGCTGGTTGGTTTTAATTGGGTTGTTTGATAGCCAGGACTATTTAGCTTCAAGTACTTGAGCAGATGATTGGATTCTTTAAAGGTTAAAGAATCCTATTTGTTCCCTTCCACAATAGATTTAAATCTTTATTCTTCTTTATATAACCAAGAAATTGTTTTCTAAGAAGCAGTCTGTGGAAAGCATTATTAATACTCACCAGGTGTGAACCATGAGGTGACAGCTTTGTTCTTTTAGATATATGTAGATGCTTAAATGATTTTTATCACAAATGAAAGCATCAGTACTGGCCTTTAAGTTTTCAGCTTGTTATTTTAGAATGCCTAAGAAAAATAAAAACAAGACAAGGAAATCTTTTAGTGGGAAAAGTTAGAGACCTTTCTTAATTTTGGCTCATCACTTTTGAAAAGTTTTTTCCATCAAGGAATTAACTGCTTGCTTTAATATCCCCTGCAATTCTTTTTAGACCTTTCAGGAGGGGAAGATAGTGTGCTTAAGGAGTGGAGTTAGGCCAGTGGCTTGATGCTGATATCTGTAGCAGTGTGTACTTTGCATACTCTGCAGAGTCTTGAAAGTATGCTGAGCCCCTGAAGGGATCCAACATACATATTCCTTGTGTGTTTTTCTGCAGGAGCTCAAGGCTAAAGCAGGCACTGAAGAGGAGCTAGAAGACAAGCATCTGAAGCTCATCAAACAGCCTAGCTGAGCTATTTTAATATATGAGAAGGGAATTAAATTAAAGATTGGTGAAAAATATTTCATTTTAGCAAAGTATTCTGGTCCATTAGAGCAAAGGGAGTGGCTGTTTATTTTGCAGTTCTACTTTTTTTCCCTTTAAAAATACTTTGTGCACAGGGCTCTCACTTGAGGGTAATCTTTATCATAACTCATTAGCTCTTATCTAAAATCAAACTACTATACTTGATTTTACATGTGTAATGCTCTGTTTTTAATATTGTAACGTGGTTTCATTGGCCTAAAGAGCTGGAGAGCAGGAAAGAAGAGATGGTGAGAACAGAGCTGTGTGAGTACCTCCACACACATGCAGAGGGAGAAGCCAAGTCAAAACTGGGGTGTCTTTTTATTGTCTATGCAATGTAGGGATCAGTCCTGGAGCCTGCTATTATTATTTATTTATTAACAGAGAAACACACTGGAAGACAGAACTGTAAATGGACTGGAGCCATGCTTGGATGTGGAAGAAATTTTGGAAACCAAATCTGGTTTTGCTATTAATTCATGCAGAACTGAGCTTTGTTTGCTGAATCGTTTGCTTGAATGCTTGCAGGCATGGTTGTGTGTAGGTACAGGCTTCAGGTCTCTCTGCTCAGTCTCTGGGAACTGCCAGTTTTCTCAGGATTTCCATAATGAAGGGTTTTTGCTGGAAAAGTGTGCAAACTGCATGAAATTGCTGAGATGCCATTTTTTTCAGGTGCCAAACAGCACAATGACAAATTTCACATATTGGAATATGGCTAAAAAGGTATGTCTCATTAATGAGATTATGATGGCAGTGTTTTTCTGTCTTAGGACAGAAAAGAATATAAAATTATGTGAGAATACAGTATTAAGAGTCAACATAAGGAATACCTTTTTAAAAAAAGTCTGTTTAAAAGCTGCCCATAGAATTCCAAATACTACCCACTATATGGTATGTTGTTTAACAAGAAGAAGAGTTCTAAAGTGTACTGACAAGCAGAAACACTTCCCTCCCTATGCCTTATGTGCAACAAGTTTGAATCCTAGCTTGAGGAAAACCACCTCAAGTGTTCTGTAAAGCCAGAACTTTGGCCTGTATTGCAGCTGGAAGGCACAGGAAGATGTGATAATATTTACACAGACTATTATTCAGTATCTAGTTATGTGAAATCTATTAAACAGCACTCAAATGCTTCTAACCTGTTTCTGGACTCACCCGAGTGCCTCCATAGCTTATGCTTTGCTAGACTTGTTTGGCTCCATTCCTTGGCTCTAGATTTCTGGTGTCTAGGAATGAGCCCTGTTTTTGCTGGAATGCTGATCATGAGGGAATCTGGGGAAGATTTCTAAAGTCTGCACTGTTTCTAGATGCAGCATATATTTGTAAGTGAAGATATCCCTGTGCTGTGCTGGGGTCCTGTGTGTGCCTGTAGAAGGACTGGGCTTTGCAGAATGAGAGCAGCACCCCAAGCAGGGGGTGGACACAGCTGCCTTTTTTGTGATCCTGGAGGAAGTATGTTTGAGGTGCTCAAGAAGAAGGTAAGTTTAAAGCTGAGATCTGCAGGAGATGAGCAGCACCTGAGATGGGAGTTAGATGCTGAGGTCCTGCTTTGGGTCTCAGACTGAAAGGTCTGTCCTGAGTTCCCTTTACAAAGCCTGGGGAGAGTTGTCTTCCATGAATCATCAGATCTGCTGAGCCAACTGTTGGAAGGTGCGTAGCAGATAAATCTTACATTATTCTTGTGTGTTCTGCACTGTTTCCATGAGCTGTTCATCCAGTCAGTGCTGTTGTTTGATCTGTTTTCTTCTGCTAAGTTGCTGATAGAGGTTCAGAACAAATGGCTGTTGTTCAGGGAGCTACACAGTGGATGGGGGAAACAAATCTGTTCAGCCACTCCTGCAAATGCTAATGAGTTCAGCTAGATAATACTCTTGGTTTTAATTCAGATGTACTGCTACATCTGGTTCCCTGAGCACTACTTGTACAAATTTTATCTGCCTTGGTAATAAAAGAGACAGTAAAATAGGTGTTCTACTTGCTAAATTGCTGCAACTGCTGCTGTAACAACTGAATTGCAGCAGGTACAAACAGTGATGTGTGCTGGCATGGCTAGCCAAGCTTTAGAACTCTCTCAGACACAGAGGCGAGGTGTCAGAGAGCCAGCGGTTGTACCCACTTCTGCAGACTCTACATAAAGTACCAGGTGCACTCTTGTTATCTAAAATAGAAGTACAACAATGTAATTAAAAGGGTTATTGAAATAACAATAAATATTGAAATAACACTGAAATAATCCAGCTTGGAAAAACCTTGATTTATCCATCCATATACATATTTTTAAATAGAATCTGTACAGTGCCATGCTTTCATGGGAGGCTTGGAAATGTCATCCTCCCCTTCGTGCTTGCAAAACCTCAACATTAGAAACAAATTAGGGCAAGGCAAAGAAGACCAGGACACAATTCCTTAATCTGTCCTAATGTAGGCAAATTGTTTAAGTCAGGGTTCCTGCTAGCTGTGAATATTTTGATACTTCATTGTCCAGCCAGAGATGTCTGCAGTCTTGCTAACAGCAGTTGGGTCATAGAACAAGAAGCACTTTGACATTTTCTCTTTCCCATTCTGCAAAGAAAAGATTGAGGTGACTTAAATTAGATGAGTTATTTTTTTATGTGTGAAAGTTTATTCTCTGAAACATAATGTCTTGGTCATTATAGACTGAGGATGAAATTGCCAAATTGTAATTTCAGTTTAATATTTAAAACCAAGTAATTATTAATTAATTAATTATTATTAGTTAATTTTTTTTTGCTGTGAGATGAGAGAAATTAGGTTTTTTTTGTTTGGTTGGGTTTTTTTTGGTTATTTTTGCAAGAAAAAGAAGGGGGATGTTGTGTGGTTTTTGTATGTGACTTGATACATAGCAGCTTCTCCACACTGTCCCTCTTCCACACACTTACTGGATGAAGTAATAAAGTAATGCTCCGTACATAAAAGCAAAGCAGCTCCAGCTTCATTTGCTTTCAGCTGGAGTGCTCTACATCTCTGGAGTACTGATGTGCAGGAAATCCACCTGCAATGATTCTCCAGTGCTTAGTGAATGCATCTCACAGCAAGCCTTCATAGCTCTTCCTCAGTTTCCCTACCCATAAAATGAAGATAAGGTATCATGAAGATGGAAGAGCATTTTTGACAGCTTTGAACATAAAGCACTCATAACTGGCAGTGTTTCCTACCTTTATATTTTTCTGCTGATTGAATCAGAGGGACTTGATTGAATCTGTTACCTAACTTCTTTTCAGCAATTTTTACACTTCTCAGCCATTTTAGTCTGACCATGGAAGAGACAGGTATAACAACCTGTCTAAAGTACCTTCATAACCATATGAGAAATAATGTTGAAAATTATTAAAATTAAGGACACACATTGTATACCCAGCTGTCAGGTCAAGGCCAGAGCTACAGGAAACTTTAACATAAATATTAATATAGCAGGCACTTTAATTAGCTGTGCCCTTCAATCACTTGTTATTTGCCCCCTTGGTCTCCATCTTGAGCCTTCATAGAATAGGATGACCCCTACTTGTCAAGTCAGATTTCATTCAATTTATCTAATTACTATTGGGACCCTTTTAATACATGCTCCACACAGTGCTAGTTTTGCCCAGCCCTGTCTCTATTCCTGGACTCAAATATATAATACAGGATGCAAAATGCACATCAGAGCTCGTGCTTAACATATGCACAGCCTGCTTTAAACTGCACTTCTTATTAGTGATTCCTTGCTTCCAATCAACTGAAATAGCTGGGAGCAACTTCATTTTTCTCATGTTAATGCTTTGCCTCTATATCTGTCCTTTTCCCTTCAAGGCTGTTTTTGCTCCAAAGTTAATGGAAGGAGAACTGAAAAAATTTTCTGAGAGCATACCATAGAAGTGTAACCTTTAGGGAGATGTTAGTACTGGTGTAAAAGCACTTTTGTAGATTTTGCCACATGACAGTGGTTCCCGCATGATGAGCTGCAGCCACAGTCACATCGGTGGTCTCTTCCAGCTTGTGGATACCTTGCTGGTCTCAAGCAGCAGTGCACATTTCAGCTTAAAAGAAAAATTTTTTTCTTATCTGTTATACAAATTCCTTAGGAATAGTACACAGCCCTCAAGCTTTCTGCAAGTTGTGTGCTGAGTCTGATCTCCTAAAAGTTAAGTACTAGGGCCTTCTGTAATCTTCAGATTCAAAACACCATTTTCTGATTCAGTCCTGGATAAAAATTGGTTGGAATAATTTGTCGAGTTTAACAAGTAACATCCAAACACTCCTGATTTTAATATACAGTTGACAGACCCACCTTTAATTATTTTTTAATCTTCCTCCTTACAAGGTTAGAGCTGTTTTTAAGACAAGCCTAGTATGAAAGGAAGAGACAGACATAGTGGCAAGGTAAGTGAGTCAGATTTACCACAAAGATTAAAAAAATAAACCTTGAAAGCAAGGGTAATGTCTTGTGATATGCAACGTTTATTTTTTTAATCCAAAGCCTCTTGTTTCTAAAAATAACAAGTATTGGAAAGAGAACAATTTGCTTGCTATGAGGGGAAATGGGCCAGCTGCTCAACAGGACACAGCAATTCTAAACAGTCCTAATCAGGAGGGGAAGCAGAATGTGCTACTCAGTTGAAGTTCAAGGGCAATTTGTAGAGGCAAAAAATAGTATCTATTACTCCAGACAGAACATGACTAAATTAAAAGGGATTATATCTTGAGTGTGTGAAAAAAACCTCAATAGAATTACTGGCACCTGGTAGTTACTGGCTGGAAATCCATAGCTTTTGTTATGGATTATTTTGCATTTAATATTTTAAATTGTAAATTTGGAGGGTTCAGCTGCATTGGGCAATATCCTTGGGATGCTGGGTTTGCTTGGGCCAATGAAACCTGGGGAGGCTCCTGCAACCTGTTACTGACCTATGCAATTAGTAAGGTTGGATGTCTTCACCTCTCTGGGCATTTTGATTCCAGTCATAGTTTTTACTGTAATTAAGATGGAACAGCAACATTTTAATACATTTCTGGATCCCTTTATTTCCAAGAAGTTTTTGGCTTCTTCCCCATGTTTCTCCCAATCCCCCACACACTCACAGAGCATAACCCCAAATCTCAGCATTTATTTTCTGAGCAGCTTTGGGAAGTGGTTAAACATGCAGAAACTGAAATTCAAAGGTCCAAATCCCTGCAAGTGAGGTGCAGACATTTACAAAATGTATGAACTGCAATCTAAGAAATCATTCTCTGGCAACAAAGACATGCTCTCTCAAACATGGTATTAGTTAAGGTTTCTTTTAATGCTTTATATTACTTTATGCATTTTC